AGTTTAATTGACAGATTTTATCATGTTCATTCTATGTACAGGGTATTCAGTGTGAGAAATTTGTAATGACATTAATGTTATACATAGATTATTGCATACGAGACCTGTAAATTGTATGTAATACCAAAGTGTCAACTGATACTGAACGAACAACTTATATGTACTATACAGTATTGCAAAAAGACCTTTAACTTTAATGTCATTACAAATTTCTCCTGTACAGTAATTTTTGGACACCATGTATTATTGCAGTATATAAAAGTGGTTTGATATTACAAAGATTGCATAGAAAGTTTCAGGAGCAATTGAGAAATGATTAGGTATAACGTTTAATATGTTGGTCATTGTGCTGATACCACAGTATCACATTTCTCCTATTGATGACTTTTTGATCTATTTTTATTTTTTTTTATTGCCAAAACCTATTCTCCTTGAGTTGGAAAATGCATAATATACATCAAATACAACAGCATTTTGCACACTAGTTCTCTTTATATATTGCTCATTTCTATGCACTGTTTACTACACATCAATAGTTGCCACAGAGTCATTTGGAATGCAGTCTCAAATCAGAATTTTAAACATATTTGTATATTTGATGATTTTTTTCATTAGAATATTTTGTTGTGTTTTGTTCCTAAGCAAGTAGATTTTATGTATATATAAATAAAATTTAAAAAATGTCTTGTTTCAATAACAATATGATAAACTTACAGGTTTAATATTAGCCAAATAGTCTTCTGAACGTAAATATCTACTTATAGATGGTCCATAAGAATAACATTGTACTGGTGTAGAATGAGAATTAATTTTGTTGTTGTCATAAGTTGGTAATGAATAACCTGCTGTAGTAGTAACTGAAAAAAAAACCTTAAATTGTAATTCATAATAAAGATAATAGAATATTTTCATTTATTATAAAATTACAAAATATTACTCTCTTCATTATCTCTGTAATCTTCGTTATGTTTCACATGAAAAGATTCATCATTCTGCGATGTTGTTGTGGCAGTTGTTCTAAAACAATTAAATTTCATTTTCTTTAAAGTAAAAATTAATTACAAAAGCATTATAATATTGTTTTGAATTCAAAAATAAAAATTATTTTTCAAGAATATATTTCATATTTCCTGAAATCACACATGATCTTTCATGAAATTTTATATGCTGTTGACAATACACAGGTAACAACATAAAATCACAAACTCTATAGATAAAAGTACTATTAACTCGATTATTATAGCTTACTCAGAAAAATGGAACAAAACAACAACAAAATAAAATACACTTTACAAATTTAAAATTAGAATGATTTTGAAGAACATTACAAATTTTAGTTTAAAACTGATACATTCTAAATCATTCCAACTTTATATTCATAAAATGACATTCTACTAAAAGCTGAAGCCCCTAATGTTAAGTCAGTATTTCTGCAATATGAGAAAAAAATGTTTAAAGAAAACAAAATCTTTTAATATTCTCTCTTGAAACTTATATTTTTTTATTAGTTATATTCATATTACACCTGCTCTCCATGCTGCTGAGACTTTATACGATTCTCTAAAGTTTATCATTTGTCCTGCTTGGTTGTTCTTATGTATATGCCATGCTTCTGCATATATGTCAGTCTCAATGGCATGGAGAGCAAGTGTAATATTAATATATCAGTATGAAATAGGCACAGTTGTTGCCTGTTATCAGTTGTGTTTCTTTCATTAATTATTTCCTAAATTCAGTTTCCATAGATATAAAACTATAAAAAAGAATCCTTACATCTGGAAATCTCAAATTAAAAATCAAGAGTCCCTCTCTTATACAAAAGCTAAAGAAATACATTTAATCATTTCAATCACCAGTTATGATCTGATTATAAATGTACCATATACAGTAATACNGTTACCATAAAATTAAATTTTTTTATTAAAAAATTGCTTATATTATATTTATTTACAGGACAAATAATAATCTGATTTATCACTGTAAAAGGCACTAAATATGAAAGTACAGGGAGATAGAGGTAGAGGAAGACCTAAGAAGAGGTGGATTGAATGTGTAAAAACAGATATGCTGGACTGTGGAGTGTATGAAGAAACAATTAGAGATAGACCAACGTGGCGTAAATTGACATTCCAGGCTGACCCCAAATAATCTGGGATATAGGCCAGGACGAAGAAGCTTGAACAATATTGTATATTTAAGTAATGTACTAAAAAAGCAAAAGTGTTGCGTAAGATGGCTTGAAATTATTATTTTGAAAGAGATATTCAGATTGCTACCATTCAAGCCTGTGGATTTTTTTTTTACACAGTTTAATTCCATTTTTATAACCTTACAAAACTGTAGAAATAGATATAAACTATGGAAAACTTAACATAAATGAAAAAAACAATGTTAACAAAAAATAATATTTTCAATTACAAATAACAATGTTATTTATACATTATTACTTTCTGGCATCTCATATAATGCATAGCTAATAAAGTAAATTGTATTTTTAATTGAAAACTATATTTTTATTTTAAAATAAATACAGTGGTGCCTCGTATAATGTACGCCTCGAATAATGGACTTTCTGTTTGGCCGTTACGTGACTTGAGCAACGGACTGGTTGCGGACAACGGACTTTCCGTTCGGCAGTTAAGTGAGGCAACCAATGGACTTTCTACGAACAAGTGCAAATGGTGTTTCCACTCCTTTGCCGTTGCCAATGACAATATGTTATTTATATATATGTTATTTTTATAATATATTAGTATTATTAGAATATATTATCAGTATATCTGAAGTACAGAGTGTTGGGATTAGGCTTTGCTCCCTTGTTTATTAGGTACATGAACACAGTGTAGGATATTTACATTTATTCAAGTGTTGTGCAAATCATGGCTTCTAAAAAAACAGAAAAGTGATTTTCAATTGAAACAATGCAAGAAATCATCAGAAGGAGTGAAAGTTGACAAAAACTTCCTTGTCGAATGGGGAGAGGTTCAGGAGTTTACCAACATTCATTATCCAAACAGAGCTGAGGCCAACAGGATCAATGATCTCTACAATGACACTCTTGCCCGTCATTTCTGACAGGTGTTGAAGAAGAGAGAGAAACAGACCACCTTGGACATGTTTTTCAAGAAGCCAGCAGGGAAAAAACAAAGGATGGAACAAGAGGAGTTGACCCCGCAAACTCCGGTAGCCTCTCCTGAATCTGAATCCGATTAAAAAACAGTATAAAAAAGACCCGCTGCAATGTGTAAAAAGTCTGTATCTGTATGAATGTGTGAAGAAAGTGTTCCTCCACCTCCTTCTCACAACATTGACTGCCCGGCATAATTGGTGACTGCTCCATTTTCATTTCTTTTATGGTACAGTACGGTTATTTTATGCTGCGGAATGAATTATATGTTTTAACATGTATTTCTATGGGAAAATGCGTTTCGTATAACGGACTATTCACTTAACGGACGTGCACCTGGAACGGATTAAGTACGTTACACGAGGCACCACTGTATAAAGAATATAAAGATTGTTGGTCAATAACATAATTTTTAAAGATTGTTAGTTCAATCAATATAATATACAGGTATACCTCAACTTACGTCGTTTCGAGTTACGTCGTTCCCGATTATACGTCGTTTGTCAAAAAAGTATATGGAAAAATAAAAATCAAGTTTAAATCATTTTATTTGACTTTACGTCTGTCCGCCACAAATATTGAAGTCGTAATATCACTAGAAAAGCGTTTAAAGCACATAAAATCATATTAAAATATATACATTTACAAGTATGTACTGTATTTACAGTACACGCATTTGTAAATTCAGATTACTTTTTTCTGTACTATATTAAAAACTAAAATTTATTTGTTTATAAGCTTAAAATAGATCCTTATTAACCATACATTATTAAAAATGCATTAATAAATAAAATACAAACAGATATGGTAATTTATGGTTTAGCCTAGTGACTAGTAGATTCGGAGACAAGTAAATTCGACTTACGTTTTTCGACTTATGTCGCCTCTCCTGGAACCAATTACTGACGTAAGGTGAGGTATACCTGTAGTATGAAAAGTTTTCTTGAAACTTATTATATAGTGATCAAAATTTATTATTTTGAATGTAACAATAACTACAAGAATGTAAATTCAGAAGAGAAGTTTCTGTATATATGCCAGATGGTGATATCAAATCTATGATGACTATTCTTATAATCTTTCTGATTTTCAAAGATTAAATAATCACTGAGATCATTGAAGATAATGAAATTTAGATTATAATTAATTTTATTCTGTTTTCTTAACAAAAATATCTTAAATTCATGGGAATAGCCAAGAAATTACTTTTAGCATGTGATTCCAGCTTACCACATTGTTTTTAAGTTTAGTAAATAAATAGTTTTTCTTGTAGAAAGTATGTTGTATGATAAATGAATTAAAACATTCTAAAAGGCTGTTATTGTAAGACAAGATAGCAATTATCATCTATCTGAACTTAAACAAAAATTTTGTAGTTATCCCATTGCTTTTTTCCATTTTGCAAAATTCTTGTTTTATGACATTTGAATTGAGATAGAAATTAGAATGTTTAACACTTAGAAACAGTATTCTTTAATATAGCAGTTATCTTCCCTAGTAAACAATGAAGAAGTAAAAATATAGCCATTCTTTAACAGTTATTTGTCTGAATTTGTACTGAAAATTATTTGCTTTTTGCTTTATTAAAACTAGTTTCACACTAAGTTTCTAATTAGAATTTTTTCAAATCTATCCTAATGATTATACTGTTGGGAATTGTTTAACTTTTGAAAAATTATGATCATTAGAATAGTCCTTATTGCATTGACATCATTAATGTGAATAGACTCATTGACTTCTGATATTGTATTACTATAAAAGTTAAATTCAATATGATTTTTTGAAATCTTCTGTACATAGAACTTTGTTTAAGTAGTTACCATAAAATTAAATTTTTTTATTAAAAAATTGCTTATATTTTATTTATTTACAGGACAAATAATAATCTGATTTATCACTGTACCTCTGGTACTACAAATCAAATTACTTGGGGAAAATTGGACAGGATTGCTCTTCCTTACATCATACAAAATCCAAGTGCAGAAGTTTTCCAATATCCTGGAGCAACATTCAAAAATAGCCGTCTTCTAAATAACATTTGTGTTTTCTTTTATCATCATGTTCCTGCTTATTTAACTGATATAGTTGCCTTGCTGATTGGACGAAAGCCAAAGTAAGTTTTAACTGCACTTTTTTCTATATAAAGTATATTAATCGTGTATAATGTAATTAACTGTAGGCTCATTTTCATTATCTTTAATTTTAGTTATGTGTATTTGCAATTTTATATAATGTTGATAACTTAAACTTTTATCTTTCATTATTTTGTCAAATTTATAAATATTCCTAGTAAATTTTAACATTTTTTGTTTAAAATTATGGCAATGTGAATATTACAAAATTTAAATATGATTATAAATTTTTATTTAAATACATTTGTACAACATAAAATGTGTTATTGAACATTTTATTAGACAAATTTAATAAATTTATAAAAATAATTTCATTACATAGGATGGTGAAATTGTATCAAAAGTTGCATAGAGCCATTCAAAGTCTGAATTATTTTACAACTCATGAATGGAAATTCCACTGTAATAATCAATTTAAGCTGATGGAGAGGATGTCAGAAAAAGATAGACAGGTATTTTATTTTTATTTACCCTGTACATTTATTTCTGGAAGGAAAAATTATATTTAGTACTTATTATAATCGAGGAAGAGTGTTAGTGAAGCCTCTTCTACATGGCTTACAAAATTGTTTTTTCTCAAAATTTGATCGATCAATTTTGATAAGACTTTGCCACTTTCCATTAATCATGATGAGGAATCCAAAAATCTAATAAAAAATGGAGGTCCATGACTTTGCTTTTGAGATACAAGGTCGCTAGCATGAGCACACATGACAAAGCATCATCATACAAATCACATGACAAAGTTGCACAATGTCCTAAGATTGCTAGTCTGTCTTCTATGCAGCCTGTAGAATTGAGTTTATTCTCAAAATTTAATGGGCTGATTTTTTATGAGTTTTTGCCATTTTCCATTAATTGCAATGAGGAATCAAAATGTTACAAAAAATGGTGGTCCATGACCTTGTTTTCAAGATACAGTGGGTTATTGTGTCAGTGTCTTTATTCTCTGATGCAATTGAGTACGCCTAACAGAATTTGGGGGGAAAACAAATAAACAGCATTTTGCATGCCTAACAGAAATTTGTGTGAAAAATGAACAAAACACAAGAATAAAGCAATAAATGCCAATTGCTTTGTTCTTGAATCACCTCTATGTGATGGAAAGTGTAAAGATTGCCTCTTATGTGCAATCTTTACACTTCTACAATGGAGAGTGCAAGGATTGCCTCTCCCTTTCTGTCTCTGCTTCATTTTTATTGCAATATGACAAAGTTGTATGATGTCTCTAACCTAGTTTTCATTTTAACTATTAGTATTAACATTGAATATTCTTATGCTTTTTGGGAACACACACAATGGTGTTTTTGAAGTATTTCTTTTTATACAATGTTGTTTCTTTTATTCTTAATTATATGTTGTATCTGCCATAAGAAATTTTTTTAAAGTAGTAAGCAAAAGATTTATCCATATGAATGCAAAACTAAATAATTGTTTTATGTTTCAGATATTTAATTTTGATATAAAGCAGCTAAACTGGTCTAGTTATTGGCAAGATTATGTTCTTGGTGCTCGACAATTCATATTAAAAGAAGAAACCTCTAGTCTTCCTATAGCCAGAAAGAAACTTCGAAAGTATGAATGATGATTAAATATAATAATCTACTACAATGTGGATAAGGAGTGCTGAATTTTTATCTTTCTTTTCTCTGTAAATTTCAAGTAAGTTTGAGCTGTATTAAAATTCTCAAATTTACTTGAAATTTGCAGAGAAAAGAAAGATATAATAAACCTAGGTTTTTAAATATAATTCAGATTAAGATATCACATTGCCTAAAAATTAGAATAGAATATTTTATTTTTATTTTAATATTAAAAAATAAATATAATTAATATTAGATGTAATTATAAAAAACAGTTTTATTTGCAAATTTTATAAGATTACTAATTTATTTCTAAAGAAACTGATTGATTAGGTTTTACCATATCTATGACTTGTAGAAGTCACAGATTGTTTATTTCTTTGTATTTAGTTGATTTTAACATTAATTTGATTAATCATTTAATTATTATAGAATGCTGCAAATGATTCAACAAATACAGCAGTTTTTCACCAAATATGATTTGGAACTAATTTATTCTTTCCTTTTAATCATCATTAAGATGCTGATTTTACAAATATCATCATAAACTTAAAAGTTTTACTCTAGAAGTGTTAAGAAAATTAAAACTTGTTGGTTGGCTAGCCATGTGGTAAAATGCCTTTTGTCTGGGAACTAAGATTGAATTCAGCTCAGATCTTAAAATCTTTGCATGTTCACACTGTATTTGTCCATCACAACATGTTATCGGAACATTTATCTTTTCACAATACTATTGACAACACAGAATAGAACAGCTAATGAGGAAATGGGAAGGAAAAAGAAAAATCTGATCTTAAACATTAATCATAATTTTTCATTTGTTTTGCTATATTTTTTCCAAATGTTTTAGTATTTATAATATTCTTTTTCCTTAAAGAGATTAGTTTTCTTTAAGTTCTTATTAACATCTTGCTGCCTGCAGCATTTTCAAAGACACTCCTTCATACAAAGTATGTCTGATTTACTACTGGATTGATTGCATATATTTGGCACACATCTCATATTGATTTCTGTGCTGATGACATTTTCCAAATATCTTAGTGATTATTGAATCACAATACTCTTTTAGTGCAATAGAAATAGGATGTGATTACTGTATGCATTTGGTATTTGGATATTCCTTTTAACTTGTTACTATGGCAATACTTTACTGGAGTATGATATTGTGGACAAATACATATAATGGGAATCAGCCCTAATGTGCTAGCCAATTTATTTGAAAATCTTATTATTGATGGACTAGTTTTTTTTCCATTACTAAGTTTTCTTTATTGAAGATGATTTAATAAGCTGTCTTCTGATTGGTGAAGTGAATATATAATAATTATCTGATGAAAATTATGATCTTTTGAGAGAACATAATTTTTTTTATCGTAATTTTCTGCTAAAAGTTGTGTTTTGGTCAAAATTATATTTTCTAAAATAAGATTCCTTCCAGAAAAAATTTACAAACCAAGTAGTCTTTCAGTAATATACAGGGTGGTTAAAATTAAACTGATGATACTTGGATACATCAGTTTAATTTTAGCCACCCTGTGTATTACTGAATTTAACTGGAGCTGGCTCTACTGAGTATAATTGAATGAAACAATGTACACATACAATGCAGATCATGGGGAAGAGATTTACATGGGAAATTAGTTAAAATTTTCACCACTAGGGGAAATGTGGTACTGCAAGGATGAAAATTATAAGATAAATGGACAGAATTTTATTAGAAGAACAAAATTACATTTTACACATTTATAGTGTGTACTCAATGCAGGATCCTATTCTGTCAACCACAATTGTGCAATTGTAAAACTGTTAACTGTTGCATGTAGCATTTCAGTGAATCTTGGAGACATATTGCACTCTATATCAGCTCTGAGATAGTGCAAATGCTCCGATACACACAATCTTTCAAATAACCCCACAACCAAACACTTATATTTTTAACTGAACAATGCCGCATTTTCACCAGGTGGTAAAAATTTGTGTTAATTTTTTCCCCCATAAATCTGTTCTCCATGCATATCTACATTGCATGAGTACCAAGTTTCATTCAGTTGGATTCAGTAGAACCAGTTTCCCATGTGTGTGAGTACCATCAGTTTAATTCTAATTGCCCTGTACAATAATATGTTAATGAATTAAATTTTTTAATATTAGAAATGGGAAATTTAAAATAAAATTTCTCCTTACTATTTCAGGAATAGGGAAAGAATTAATAATAAAAATAATTTAAAATTTATTATTATAATGTTGGTAGAATGTATTCTTCTTGGTTAAGACCTGTATTCAGTGCTATGACGGATCAAGGTCAAGGCTTGGCTACAGAAAAAGCTGTTTGTGTACAGTATGTGTCTGTGTTTAAGAATTTCTTGACTGTGTGATGTGTTTAGTATTACAACATTTTGTAATTTGATGTGTTATTTATAATGAGAGTAACTATTTTTTTCAGTTTTATGCAATTTTAAATAAATAATTTTATACTTTTAATATAATCTTATTAAAATATTTATTTTCTTTTCTAGGGCTTATCTATTTTCCCAATTGATTAATTTGTTATTTATTGTTATTGCCTGGAGACTCCTTATGATAAAATCACAAATAGCTCGAAGTCTATGGTATTACTGTTTATCACTAGTAGTGAGATTATATCGCATTTTACCATTGGTATCAACCTTGTGAAGATAATATTCATCGCTACTAGGGAGTGTTAACATTCCATCAACATTATGTGGCATTGGAAATCGATTCCTATGATAACATAGATAATTGTTTATTAACATTATTCATTTCCAAGAAATGCATTGATACATTTTGCAGTCTTTTTTAGTCAACAGTTTGATCAAACAGATTTGCGACATTTAATATTTCAATTATTTTCCGGATAAAGCTTCAAATAGTCTTGTTAATTATAAATTATAAAATTCAATTTTGAATCAAAAACTGTATTTCTCTTAATCAAGACAGTTTCAGAATTTTCTTTCTAAATACAAATTTACCAATTCGACTTCAACAAATTTTATCTTATGCAAATATTTATAGTTTTTAAGTTTCAACTTTTAATCATTCAAGACAGCTGAGGAAGTCTACAGAAAAAGAGAGAGATGCATTACTTTTTACATAAATAGACTAATATTTTCAGGCATTATTTAATTTAATGATTTGATTTTTTATTGCAATACAACAGCAAAAAATTATTTAAGTAATATGATTACTGCCTTTGTACAGTTTATAATGTCCTAATAACATCAACAATTTCTTGTATATGTGATATGTTTCTTTTAATGCCATATCTTTATACTAAGTCAGGTCATTGTCTTTCACTTTTAATATTATAATCATTGAGTTCCTACTTTAAAAAATTTATTCCAAATCATAAACATCTTGCATGATGATTTATAAATTTCTCCAATATTTTCATTATTTTTGGAATGTACATTGATCCAGTTTTCCAAATGGCACATACTTCAAACATTTTTCTGTTGTTGACTTTGTCAAATACTAGTTAGTATTAAAATATGCAATGAAATAAAGAACTGAAAATTTTTCATTTTTGTTTGCTTTTGTTCATTAACTGTATTCATTAGATAAAAAGTCTTTTAAAACACTCAAATGATCAAGATAAAAACATTTACAGTTGTGAATAGGAATTTAAATATCTGAAAGCTGAGGTCATGACATTCTTTAAAGAATAAATTTAATGAAAATACATATAGGAAATTTCTGTAGGAATTTTATGAAGACATTTATTGTAATATCAATTACTGTACTGTGTTTATATAAAAGTAATGAACAGTAAATTGAAAAACTGCAGTTTTAAATACTTGGTACATAAGAGTATCTTAAATTCAAATATCACATAACAATGCACACACAATAGTCCAGTGCAGAAAGATCATTGACTCTGCAAAGTTCATTAAGCAAACACCATGTATCAAATATCTAATATCAAGCTTAACCTGTAATTAGGAGAGTAAGGTTTTATATATGAATAATAGTAATAACAACAACAAACATACAAGTAAGTTAATATAATAAATGTGGGCTAATGCTAATGCTCAGAAACCACATACAATAAAATTTAGTCTGAATTGGAACATGGAATTTGTTTTGATATACAGTAGAACCTCGAAAACTCAGCCCTCGATAACCCGGCACTCCGGATAACTCGCGCACACCCTGGCAGGGCAAAAGAATCCTTAGATAATTAATTTTCATCATAGATAGCTTTATAAAAGTATTAAACCTTTCATAAAGCATTTTTCTGAGGTCTTTCTTATCAGGTAAATTATTATACACAGTGTATTCATTAATTTTTATTTTCATGTAGTAAAGGCTCTGTGCCTTCATAAAGTACGTAGTTTTCCTTTGTTTAAGGGTATTTGGGCAGTTTATTCTCTGTTATATTCTCAAGTAAACAATACATACAAGTACAGTACAGTATTTTCTGAGGAAACACGCATACTTATCCTTTTTTAACCCCATTCCCGATAACCCGGCATTTTCGCAAACTCGGCCACCCTTCGGTCCACATTAGGCCGAGTTTTCGAGGTTCTACTGTATATAAATTTCCATTGAAATGAATCTTGAACTATTACATTCCATAACAAAACTTGTATATGATTTATTTGTATTATGCATTTATCATTGGATTGCAATCCTTTGAAAGCTTAAATTGGTCATGCATTCAAATTTTTAATCTTTTGAATTTGTTAAACAGTCATGTTTAAAAGTATATAATTGCATATATTTCTATGAAATACTGAAACCACTTAGATAATTTGATCGATATTAAACTTTATCTTAGTTGTTCAAATTAATTTTGATTATTCATGAAATTTTGCATAAAGATTGCTGAAAAGGACTAAATCAACACTTCAAATATTCTTCGAAATATATAAATTTCCTTAATTGTATATAAAAGAATGATAAATGCTAAATTAGTCACAAATATACAAGGTGGCTCAAAATCCAATAAACTGAGAGATATTTTAATTTTAAGAACAGTTAAAAAGCCAGTTTGAAACAGCTTTGTACTGACGTTAGTGATTTGGTGATTATCAATAATACAACTCTTCTAAATTTCTTTTAATTATTATTAAATATTTTAGAGGAATCGCACATTTGGTTGCTCCATTGGAAATGGCTGAATCACCGATAATACTGTGTAGCTATTACAAGTTGTTAAATTATCCCTCAGTTGACTGGCTTTTGGGCCATCCTGTTTGTTGCAACATTCTTTAGTTCAATATTTATTTTTTGAAAGAACTTTTTGAATTTTGATTGACTTCTTATCATATTAATTGTACAAATATTTATATTTTATTATTATACCTATAACTTGATATAATAAATTTTCATTACTAAGAAGTGAAACTTTTTTATTTCCTATGAAAAATGATGGAAGAATTGAATTTATAGAACACAAATAACAATAAAAGTAATATATATTACAGCTGCTAATTTAATATTTATAGTTTCATTTTTAATCATGTAAATCATTTGCAGATATAAAACATCTTCACAAATGTGAAAAGTCTGATATAAGAATAATTCCAAGTATTCAGACAATTTTTGTAGATACAGTATTTTGAGGAACATCTAATAATAATAATGTTTGTATAAATTAAAACTAGATTAAAATAAATTTTAAGTATTTTGGTGCCAAATTTACATTTTATTCTCTGGAATATGTCGGTCTTATTTTAAATTGAAATTTCATAGTCTTGTGAAGTTTTTAAATTCCACGTTGTAGGCCATATTTAATGTTAACATTTGCTTTAACATTATTGAATTTTAATAATCATTTGAAAAAACCATATAAATATTGTATCCTGATATAAGTAAATGCAAGAAACTGTTAAAATAATGAGAACATGTGGAATTAATTTTGATATATACAGTGACCATAAGTGTAGAACCATAGGAGTTATGTTGATCTTTGTTTATTCATTTATAGATGAAACATGGTGCTAAGAAAGGAGGAACACATTAATTATTTTGATGATGGGAATTTGCAGTGAGAGTGAAGTTGTGGAAGAGTTTAAAAGGTTGCATCCATACACCACCAATCATAGAGTAGTCTGTCTGGTGATGTCATACTGATAGTGGGTCCCTACCATCAAAATAATCTGAAGTTATTCCTCCTTACTCAACACTATGCTTTATCTGTAAAAGAATAAACAAAGATTAACATAACTCCTATGGTTCTAGATGAAATGTTAAAGGTTTTAAAAATGTTAAATACTTTAATTTTTAAGATTTTATATATATAAAAATATATGGCAGCATTTTAGTGATTTTACAGTATACATGAATAGTACATTTCAATAAAGGATCATTATTTTAATTCTTGCTCTATGGGAACTAAGGTCTTTATATTACAGCTAAAAACAGGATGCTTGTATGGGGAAGGATGATGTGTAACATCCAGTTCAAACTATTCATGAAAATTTTAGGGTTTTGACCTGAATTTGAAATTTGCTTCTTTTGTAGGACTGCCCTGAACATCAAGTACAATATTTACTATACTAAAAAATTGACCAGTACAAGTATAGGGTGACTAGACAGCCTTTTTTTTATGTGTTACTACATGTTAAGAATTTCTAAGATTTTGGAAATAGTCATGTAAATTAAAATGTGTAGTAATTGGGTTGACCTAAGAATTAGCATATACAGCAGCGCTGTCCAACTTATCATAGCCTGCGGGCCATTTTTTCTTCACCAAACATTTCGGGGGCCAAGAAGATTGATAAACCACATGACATTTGCATAGTGCTACGGTTCAGTAAGCACTAATTGGTCAGCGAGTCCGATGTTGACGCTATAAAAAGGCGACAGTTCGACACACCGGATATACGTAATTCTCGCCTAAGTTCGACTTGGGAATTTTTTTGTTCAATAACAAATGTGAATTCTTCTTCCTAGAAAAATAAGACATTCCCTGAAAATAAGACCTAGCGCATTTTTCAGAGCAAAAATTAATATAAGACACTGTCTTATTTTCGGGAAAACACGATAGTAAAATAATTTTATTAATAATAATAATTTAGTAACATAAATTTATTCATAGTAAAATGTACTCGCGGGCCGTAAAAATTATTTAACGGGCCGTATACGGCCCGCGGGCCGCCAGTTGGACAGCGCTGATATACAGATATATGCTAACAATTCTTAGATTTATTTAATGAGGAAAACTTATCACAAATTACTCGCGAAAAAGTCCTAAAGTTGCTCACCCAAACTGAGTATGCATGGTAGAAATTGTAAGCTACTTTGGTACCTCAATTTATGAATGATTGTAAACGACGTAATCTTAGTATCCATCACGGGTTCAGTCAGGTTCCAATTGGTGTAGCGGGAGACACTAGCTTAAAGGGGATGAAAACCAGGGCCACTCACAGGCAGTGGCGGTCATAGGGGGTAGCGAGCAGGGCAATCGCTTGGGGTCTCGTGCAACAACCCGAATAGAAAAAAGTTTATAGCTAAAGATAAAATAAAACGTTTTAAATATTAATTATAACAATAAAATAAATTTTGATTAATTCATAGTACAGTATAAATAAGTGCCTAAATGAAATTTCTCATTTAGATTTATTCAATTTCACATTCGTTTAAAAAGTAAGATTAACGATATCAAAATTAATTTATCAGTGAATAATAATAATTTTTCTAATTTGACTGTAAAACATTTGAATCCTGAACCTCGCGCATTAGAAAACCCACTTGAACGCGCGGTTTCGTTACTTCCGTGATTTATCGTGTTTACGATTTACGTTTGGGGAATCCCCGTGATTCATTTCGTTCGTCAACTCTTGTCACCTTACGCTTATTTTGCTAGCAGCTGTATGCGTTACATAATCGTTTATATGGCACATATCTTTCAGTAGGTAAATAAACATTAAATGATATTAAGTTTTAGTGAATCTTACATTATTAATTAACAGTACTTATAGTAAAGAGTGAATTGTTGAAAAAAAAAAACTGTAAAAATGCTAGTAAATTATTTCTGAATTAGTTTTATGTGCGAAACAAGATTTATGAAGTGAGTTCGCGTGATCGCTCGTGATGCCGGTAGAAAATTTGAGTCGGGTAGTTCAAAAAGGAAACGAAAGCAGGTAGAAAAAAATCTACGTGGGTCTTTATATCTATACTAGCTGGGAGGACCCGCTTCGCTGGGCAAAAAGTAACGATAGTGAAGATTAAGATAATTACATTATAGCCAATCTTACCCGTTTTCACAGAATGCAAGAATTAAGTCCCCCGTTTCCAGACTAATTAGAGAATTTTTACGTCCAGTCAAACGAACTATCAGGTAACCAAAAAAGTTCTGTCGTTTTTTGTTGAAAGAAAACAAACGTAAAAATGTATAGGAAATAACACAATTTATTCATCAAAATAACCACCCTCACATTCAATAACCTGTTCCCAACGGGAAACAAGCTTATAAATTCCATTTTTATAAAAGTCACGATTTTTAGAGTTGAAAAACTTCCCTAATTCCGTTTCTATAACCTCTCTATTTCTAAACTGTCAATTTCGCAGAT